AACAGGAAATACAGACTGGTGATTGCCCAGAATCCAAGCAGATGCAGATCTTGCGGCTTTGGTGACAAGGTAAGATGAGGGTTGCCTTTCGTGATTGGCCCGAGGCAGCTCGAGGCTCCTCCCGGACAAAAGAAGTTCCCAAAAGTGGCAGACCCCTCTTCCAAGACGATGGAGTCCTTATGTGGTGCCGGTGATAGGAGTGATTCTTTCAAGAGCAAAAGCTGATGGTTCCAACGTTTCCAACCATCCCTTTCCCCCATGACCATCGTATCCTTTCTTACTCCACGGCGTTCGTATCATTACCCCGCACCCAATCATGGTGCGTCTCGTCTTTTCCATCTGCTCACTTGATGGCGTGGCCCAACATCCCTCCCTCAATCCGGGTAAATCCAAACTGATTTCAAGGATCGACGACCTTTGAGCCCGACCCTGATTGTCAAGCTCGTCATCACGGACGCGTCAACTGGAGCAGAGATTGATCCCTTGTGAGTTTGTTTGTGTTTTTTTTTTTTCCCCAACTTGGACGGGTTCGAGAAAGTAGGACACGAGAAATTGATCATTGGTTTTCTTTCTGAAATCCTGCACCGTCCCTGCATCCGTCAACTTCCATGTATGGGTATGATGGATCCTGGTTCTGATCTCCATTTTTTCCGCCATGACAATCGCATCGCCAAATCAAAGTGAGATTGACACTTCTCTTTTTGTGCTCAATGCGGACCTGTGCGGCGCAGATGGTCCAGACTCGCCGCCCTGCAACATTCTTGTCCATCGTCACCTTCCCGCAGCACCACCGTGGGGCTCCTCAAACAACTTGGAGTCGAAGCAACCTACATTTGCCAGGAACAGCGCATGTCCTGCCGAATTCGACAACTCAACCCAAGGCTTGGCACTGTCACCTGCCGATTCCGCTGACCATGCAACCAACTCATCTTACCACAGCAGCGGTACTCCGCCTAGCAACTTGGTGTCCACACAAACGTCACGCATCAATTCTGGTAGCGAGGCCTCTGCCCATGAAAGCCGGTTCTCAGGGTCAAAAAGGGACCCAATGAGGTCAGCAAAAGCAGCAGGCGCTTCGATAACCCTCCGGCCCTCTTTCACCGAGGGGGTACCTGTCAGAGCTCCTCCCTTGGAAGCTCAAGAGGACAAGTCGACCGTTCCAAATCTCGACACTCTACACATCGCTGGAATACCGTGGTCGAACGGCAAAGTTCTCCCTGTGCCGCCTTTTTTTCCCGCAGCTCCCATACCACTGCGAGCTCTCAAGGGCACCGGCTTGACCCCCGCATACCCTAATCCCAGCGAGAGAGTCACCCGCAATCTAGTAGGGTGCGCAGTCGCCAGCGCAAGTGTGCTGCGAGACGTGGAAGACAATTGGGGCATCTTCTTTGTCTTGCAGGACATCAGCGTAAGAACCGAAGGAGTCTACAGGATAAGACTGACATTTGTCAACCTTGGGATGTGAGTCGAATTAAGCCCAGCCTGACGAAGAAGAGTGGAACCTGGGGAGGAGGGGAATTGGGGTAAATCTCTGATTTTTGGAGAGAGAATCTCGTCTCCCCCAAGGGTTTTGCGAACGCCGTTTTTTTTTTTTTTTTTTTTTTTCCCGTTCGATTTGAGGCATGGTCCACTTGAGCTCGACGAGAGCGAGCCGGAAAGACGTGTGGTTACGTCGTCGGGCCGACCACGCGATCTCGAGATGACTCAAAGGTCCATTCCATTTTTAGGGAAAAAAGTTGGGCTCGGTAAGGATTGGTGAAAACTCGAGACAGCGCCAATTACGATGCTTTATGGATCCCCGCACGTGTGGACACATGAGAACCAGTCTTTTTCTGAGAATCAGGATCGAGTGATACAGAGGGAGATATTTACTGCTTCTTTTCACCTGTCCTCTGCTCCCTTCCCTATGGTCACTTCCTTTCTCTCTTTCTTTTCTCTTCCCTATCCTCGGCAGGAACGGACGCGTCAACATCGGCCACTCTCCAGCTTTAGCAGAGACATTCACCGAGCCATTCCGTGAGTTCAGGTTCCCGGCCACGATACGAGTTTACAACCGATCAACTCATCCAAACCGAATAACACATGAGCCAACGACAAGGACTCGTTGCTGACCTCTTCTTATCAACCGCTGGCATATGCTCTTCCTTACAAATGATGACTTGCGACTGGCAGAAGCTTACTCTCCCAGAAGATTCCCGGGAATGCTGCACCCATCACCCCTGTCGCGAAAGCTTGCTTCGCAAGGGGTCAAGATTCCGGTCCGACTCGATCTCAAGAAGAAGAAGAAGAAGGGAAGAAATCCTGAAGATGATGGAAACCTGCAGTCGGACAATCACTTCCAACTTGAAGGACGAGAATAAGATTGAGGGTGGTCGAAGGGCGAAGGAGGAAGACCTTGTACTTCCGCTCCCTCCATAAAACAAAACAAAACAGATGAAAACAAAACAAACCGCACATGTATCAGTAGCTCCCATGCAATCCGTAAATATCTGGTCTGCAAACACTAGAGTATAGAAGAAATCCTCGGAACGCCATCGGGTGGGTGACGAAAGCGGCGAAGGTTTCTGAACGAATGGAACGAGCTTTGGTGATTCATGTGACTATGAGCTGTATGCTGTGCAGCTTGGGTTGAGTGGTGGGTCGTTGGGGTTGCATTGGTGAGCAGGCTGAGGAGTCACGTGACGAGCTGAAGCCGATCAATCCCGCGCCTGCCTGGGGTAGAAAGAGGTGAAATTCCGATTCCATCAATCCAAAACTCTCGCAAACCACTCCGCCACTGTTGGTGATCGCCAAAGAGCAGTAAAACAACTTCCCTCAACCAAACCTACACCACCACTCCTTCGTTCTCAGGACAACGCTCTCTCACCTACATCCACCTCGAAGTTCTATCGCGGCAAAAGCCACCTCTCCCTGGAACATTCGCTTCAAACCTCTCAACCACCTCCAAAGAAACCATGGCTTCCCGATTCGCTTCCTCCCTGGCGCTCCGAACGCTCAGGTCGACCACCAACCTGCCACAGCTCGCCTCCCGCCGATACGCCTCGACCGCCACCACCGGCAACGAGTTTGTCTCCGAGAGGCAGCACATCAAGGAGCACGCTGCCAGTAAGTTCATTCCCCTTCCACCACTTCCCGCAAGCTTGGGGTTATCACTGATGGGCGCGCTTGCAAGAGAGCGTTGTCCTTCGTTGGGTGGCGTTCCCTCTCAGCCAGGGATGGGACGGCGACGGAAAGAGGCGAGAGATGGTGTAGGGAGGTGAAGAAGGTTGGAAGGCTGTGTGGTGTAGGTAGGAAGGGGGCTTCTCTTCGCCCTTCGCCCTTCTCTGTTCAAGGTTCAAGAATCCACAAGTTGTAGAATCGAGAGGGTCCATTCGTTTCACAATCTGCGTCGCCGTTCGTATCTCCTCACCATTCAAATGTCTTCCTTTTTCTTAAAAAAACTCCCATGATCAGAGTCTGCCGATCTCTGGCGCAAGTGAGTAGAAGCAGAACCCGTACCCACGACCATTTCCCTTTGATCATCAAAAGTTCTACAAAAAAACCGTCATCAGAATGACCTCGAACTCATCTTTGCCGTCTTAATCCCTCCTACCCTCTTAGGCTCTCCCTCTACTTGTGCATTCCAGGATGTGAGTTGCGCTTTCCCTAACCCTGACCCTTTCCCCCCTTCAACCTCGAAAGGAAAAGGTTTTGCTACCCGACACATGAGAGCTACTTTCTAGCTGTTTGAATCTCGTTCCCTACCACCTACTTGGTGACGCTTGCCCGCTCACACCTCCTCTACCCCTCCTATCTTGGGTGCAACAGCCATTGTCCTCGGCGTCTACATCTACGGAATCGAAGCTGAGCACCTCAAGCACGTCGAACACGCTTACCACGAGAACGACAACCAGGTCCCAGAGCGCACCGTCTACGAGTACAACGTGAGTCGAAAGTGTCAACCCGAACCAAGCCCCTGCGTGGTCAAGTTTAGAGCCAGAATGATGGGAACGAGGGGTCGTGATCGCTAAAAGATCGTGGAAAGGAATGGAAGAGCGCACGAGGAACAAGGAAGGAGTAGAAGGGGAGGGCTTTGGGATAGTCAGGGCCAGAAGATTTGTGCATGCGAGGTTTCGATACTGAATGTCGCTTCCACCGAAAACAATGCTTCGACACTACCACCACCCTTCCAACCTGACCTGTTCGGGTTTCGCAGACCATCCGCAAGAAGGTGAGTGGATGAGTGAACCAATTCCAAAGGGACACCTCGGCTTGGGAGAGCCCCCACCTGACGAAGTGCGGAGAAAAGGAAGATCCCGGGTTGTGCTGACTGAGATTCGATCCGTTTCACTCCCTCTCCCCCTCTCTTCTCCCAACTTCCACGTACGACGACGAATGCGGTCCCAATTTCGACAGGGCTTCCCATGGGGTGACGGTTCCAAGAGCTTCTTCCACAACGAGAAGATCAACCAGGCAGCTCTCCCATGAAACCTCATCCCGCCTCTCCTCTCCTCCCTCTCCCTCAGGCGCCCACACCCCCCTTCCCCTTGGTCCATCAGTCTTCCTTAGATCCGAAAGTCCCTGGGAGGCGGCGGAGGAAGGTTCCCTCCTTCGTCCATGGAATCCCTCCAGTCCCAATCCCCTCAACTGTCTCCGTCGAATCTGGTCCGTGTGGTTCCCGCTCGGCGAATGCCAGTTCCGTCCCATCTGATCCTCGTTTGAGTCGCGTTGAGAGGGGAATGAGAGGGGGAACCGGGTTTTCGCTCTTCTTTTGGAAAACGTGGTTGATGTGGGAGAGAATCTTATCCCGCTCCTCACTTTTTTTTTTTTTTTTTTTTTTTCTCTTTCCAGGAGGGTCATGACTTGAGTCCTCACCCACCTACAGTTCTGACAAAAGGAAGAACTCGATCCCCGGATAGACAGGGAGGAAGGGCGTGTGGGGGGGAGATAAGACAGACCAAGCTAAAGAAAGAGGAAGAAGAGGAAGGAGAAGAAGAAGTAAAAGAAAAAGAGAAGGATCGTGACAAGTGTGGGATTCGAACCCACGCCCGAAGACAGCGGGGAAACTCGGTTTCGGAAAGAACCCTAATCGCTTAAGGAAATCCTTAACACTGCGCCTTAGACCACTCGGCCAACTTGCCTTGTTGCGTGATTTTTCGCTTGCGAGTAGAAACATAACTACTATATTTCATTATTTGCGAGGACATTCTCAGACCCAGAAGGGAAGGAAAGGTGTTTGTAAGGGAGAGTCGATTCCGCTCCGCAAAATCGCACGAGCCCAGGAAAACAGAAGGATAATTTTATAAAAATTAACCACCTCTTCGGGTGATGGTAGAGTCACGGGTGCTTGCTCTGAACGAGTGTGAGGGAGAGTTTCGGTGGTTCTTCTTGACGGATACTTTTCTTTTTTGGTGAGAGGAACGGGTCTACGGATCGTCGGTCCGCCACCCTTGCGATCATAGGACAGACGGAATTGAGTGGGGTGGTTTGAAATTGGGGGAGATAAGGGGTATGATATATACACATGTTTGTGTGCCTCAATAATGTACAGGTGAAAGGGGTCAGGGGATTTTACAATTTACCGTTGCTGATATCGTTTGGTTTCCAACGTCCGCCCGAAGAGGTGTGCTTGGACAGAAAGGTAAGGTCTCGGAGGCAAAGGGGTGGGAGGTGGCGGGGGGGGGGGGAGGGCACGTACACATGGACGAAAGGGAAAGAGAGAGAGAGCGAGGGAGCGAGCGAGGCATCTTCCCCTAGTAGAGACTCCCCTTCAAACTC